CAACATGTGCTTCTTCCCAGCACCTTAGAACACGTTCTAGAAAATGAATGCCCCTGGAGTTTTTTATTCATCTCTCAAATTTAAACTGGCAGTGTTGGCTAACTATGGGACTGCCACCTGTTTTTGTAAGTAAAGTTTTATTGGAACCCAGCCACACTCATTCTTTCATATTTTGTCTATTGCTGCTTCATACACAAGCAGAATTGAATAGGTGTGACGGAGACCATACAGATAGCCCACAAGGCTGAAAATATAGGGTGTCCCAAAAAATGTATACACACTTTAACAGCTCATAACCCACTTAATTGTCATTCCTTTTTAGATCTAACTGATTTGAAATAATGGGTGAAGCCAGACTAAACTTGGAACAAAGAAAATTTATCCTAAAGTGCCACTGGACTTTTTTATGAGGATACATAAGAGATAGTTTATGGTACAAAACTGGCAACAGTCATGAACTGAGGGCACACAAATACTGAACGAAATGACTTTAGATGTTTGTGATTCCATTGCTTCATATTATTATGGTAGCAGTACCGAGACCAGAACCGTTATCAGTTTGAAAACAGGTATTGACAAAAAAAAATTTGTTTCTGTAGATTATTTTAAATTTTGAAAATGAACTACATGTTAATAAATACTGACTTTTTAATCATTCAAAGTGTGTATATTTTTGGGTGGGGCACCCTTTGATCACTAAACATTGAATGAATGGATCTAGGAATGATTACATGATCTTGGGCAAGACACAGCCTTTCTCTGATCTCAGTTTCTTATTTTTAAAAGAACTGGCTGGCCTGGGTTTTCTCTAAGGCCCCTTCTAGAATTAAAACTATGCCCTGAGAGAGATGTAGAATTAGGATTCATTCAGCAAAAACTTGCCAACATCTCCTTTTAAGCCAAGTGCCATGACAGATACTGAGGATATGGTGATGGAGATCCCTGCCCTTGAGATGTATATTCAAAATTAGAGATCGGTCCTTGTAAAGGTGAGGCAGTGTGTTCTGGGATGAGAACACAAGGTGTGAGTTAGTGCCACACATTGTAGAGTCACCTCAGGTCACGCAGAACTTGGATACAGAGAAAAACCTGAATCGCGGTGTCCGCCACTTCTGAGCACCGTGAGAAGACCAAAATTATGACATTTCTTCCTCTAAGGCAGCCATTCCTCAGTCTTGCATTTTCAGAAAGCTTCATCTAAATTGATAAAGAGTCAAGATTAAAAAATAATTTCCAGTCATCTGACTTTAGCTCTTTCACATGTATCATTCCAGCTAGCCTAGCAGAAGTCCTTGGGGTGTCTCTTTAATGAATAGCTAAACTTGGTGTTTCATCAGCATGTCATCATGAACCCCCAAGGGAGTTTGCTCTTGCAAAGCAGTATCAACATTGTCCCTCTCCCTGCACTCTCAGTTGCTTCACTCACTTGCTCAGATAGTCAAACATTCACTAATTGATCCCCTATTTTCTGTCAAACACCTGGATTACCTTGAGTAAGCCCCCCCAAGTTGGGGGTCAATTAAACTGCAGTTTAATGCTTAGCCAAATGATTCAACATTCTGCCCTTGGGAGGTTGGATTTTAAAATGTTACCTAGAACTGGCAAGAAGTAATCCGCAGACATCACTTATAGAACCCAGCTGCCAATCTGATACTCTGCCCAGCCTCTGTGTGTGGCTGTTCCCAAGCCCAATTTAAGGGCAGGACAAGCACCGACCTCCTTCCCCCAGACCCACCCGCACCCAGGCACCTTGTGAGGGGTTGGTGGTATTGGGTTGGCACCACTCTACCCAGCTGGGAAGGAACAAAGGCAGCAGCTATAGGCAGTGTGGTTGCCCCAAAGAAGACCTAGGAGACAGGTGGAGGGGAAGCTGCACCTTTTTCCAGTGAAGCCCAGCTATTGGTGCTTGAACTGGTGCAAGTCCTCAAGCGTCTTTGTGTCTTGCCTTTGATGCCAAAGTTATATTCTGACAGATGGGAACCAGAAGTCTGGCCATAGCCAAGCTGCCTTCTAGATGGAGTCTTCTGGATAATTTTGCTTCTTTCCCCTCCATTTGGATGCCCTCTATTTTGTTTTCGGGACTAATTTTTCTGGCTGTGACTTCTGATACTATATTGAATAGAAGTGGCAACAGTGGGTATCCTTGCCTTGTACTGGATCTTAGAGGAAACTTTTTCAGTTCTTCCCCATTGGTTATGATGATAGCTGTGGGGTTTTCAATCTCTATCATGTTAACTTCCTCTGAGCCTTTTTAAAATAGTTTTTATAGTAAGTTTTGTCAAATGATTTTTTATGTTATCATGGTTTTTTTTTAATATGTCTTATTGATTTTTTACAGAGAGGTAGGGAAAGGGATAGAGAGTTAGAAACATCGATGAGAGAGAAACATTGATCAGCTGCCTCTTGCACATCCCCAATGGAGATGTGCCTACAACAAAGGTAGATACCCTTGATTGGAATTGAACTGGGACTCTTCAGTATGCAGGTAGATGCTCTATCCACTGAGCCAAAACCAGTTAGGGCTATCATGTATTTTTTTAAACATTATTTTGTATATATTGAACTATCCTTGCATCCCAGGAATAAATCCCACTTGGTCATGGTGTATAATCTTTTTAATGTGCTATTGAATTTGGTTTGCTAGTATTTTATTGAAGATTGTTTTATCTGCCAGGACCAGTTTGGCTCAATGGATAGAGCGTCGGCTTGGGGACTGAGGGGTCCCGGGTTCGATTCAGGTCAAGAGCATATACCTTGGTTGCGGGCATATCCCCAGTAGGGGGTGTGCAAGAGGCAGCTGATCGATGACTCTCTCTCATCGATGTTTCTGGCTCTCTATCTCTCTCCCTTCCTCTCTGTACAAAATCAATAAAATATATTTTTTTAAAAAGATTGTTGTATCTGTATTCATTAGGGATGCTGGCCTATAGTTTTCTTGAAGTATCTTTGTCTGGCTTTGATATCAGGATGATGCTAGCCCCATAAAATGAGTTTGGAAGTATTCCCTCTTCTTTCTATTTATTTATTTATTTATTTATTTGTTTATTGGAAGAGTTTAAGGAGGATTGGTATGAATTCTTCTTTGAATATTTGGTAAAAGTCACCTTTGATATCAGGATGATGCTGGCCCCATAAAATGAGTTTGGAAGTGTTCCCTCTTCTATTTATTTATTTATTTATTTATTTATTTATTTATTTATTTGAAGAGCTTAAGGAGGATTGGTATGAATTCTTCTTTGAATATTTGGTAAAAGTCACCTGTGGAGCTATCTGGTCCAGCTTTTCTTTATTGGAAGTTTTTTTTTGTTTTGTTTTTTTGGTTTTTTTTTTATGACTACTTCAATCTCCATATTTATGTCTGTTCAGAATTCTATTTTTTCTTGACTCAGTCTAGGTAGGTTATACATTTCTAAGGGTTAACCCAAATATTTTAAGTCCTACATGTGTATGTATGTGTTTGATTTAAAAGCACACAAAAAAAATCTAGAAAAATAAATTCTAAAGTGTTGAAAGTCATATTATTTGAGCTAGGATTAAACAAAGGTGGAGGAGGGGGCCTATCACTTTTTTTTCTTCTGTATTTTTTATTTTGTTACAAAAATGATACATCTGTACTGTTTAAAAATCTATTTTAAAACCACAGCCCTGTCCTACTTGGTTTGGCTCAATGATTAAAGCATCAGCCTGTGGACCAAAGGGTCCCAGGTTCTATTCTGGTCAAGGGCATGTCCCTTGGTTGCAGGCTCCTCCCTGGCCCAGGCCCTGATTGGAGACAACCAATCAGTGTATTTCTTCTCACATCGATGTTTCTCTCTGTCTTTCCCTCTCTCATCTACTCTCCCTAAAAATCAATGGAAAAATATTCTCAGATGAGGATTAATTTTTTAAAAAATTTTAAATAAAACCACAGCCCTAAGATGAGTCCAAGGAGAGAGAGTCATACCCATTTTTTAGAGGAAACAAATGAGTCCCAACTTGTTTGGGGTATTAGTCAAAATTGGGGGAGGGGGATTCATGTGACTATAAATGTATGCTGTGTTACACAACTTTTTTAAAGAAGAGGTTTAAAAAAAAAATAGGTAACAGATGGAAAACCTTACTGGAACACAGTTCCAGGAGTCCTTTTGCCCCCAGACTGCTGTTGCACAAGGTCCCAAGGCACATTGCTGATCTTCTTAGAATGAGGAAGAAGTTGAGTCCTGCACAGTCACATGACCTGGGCAGGCTGGTGCATTGGGAGCCTAAGCCATCAGCTCTGTCTCCATCAGGACCTGGCAGCTCCCTGCCCGCCCAGCAGCCTGAGGAGGATTTACTCGCTGCCAGTGGCAGCTGTCGGTGCAGGACGTGGGCCCCTGCAGGGCAGTTCTGCTCCCAATAAGGGAAATTCACTTTATATGCACGTTAGGGAAAATGTCCTGAGATGGAGCCAGAGCCAGATGGGCACTGAGCTGATGAAAGGCGTGATGGTTACCAGAAAACATTTACCAATGTGGATGGGTATTTTTGTATATGTGTGCATATGTGTGTGCGCGTGCCTTTTACCCACACACATCTCAAAGCCCCTTTGGTTACAATATTGCAGTGTTTTTCAACCTTTTTTGGGCAAAGGCACACTTGTTTCATGAAAAAAATCACGAGGCACACCACCATTAGAAAATGTTAAAAAATTTAACTCTGTGCCTATATTGACTATATATAAAGTAATTCTCTTGAATAGGAATCAAATAAACACAAAGAAAGTATTTTATAATTACTTTATTATGAAATACTAAGTAAACAAAATAGTGAAAAATTATAAAATTCTTGTCTTGTCTGCACCTACAGCACACCAGGCAACATCTCGAGGCACACTAGTGTGCCGCGGAACAGCGGTTGAAAAACGCTGCAATATTGTCTTTCCAGTTATTCTACAATACACCCTTATGTCGGGTGGACATGCTGAGCCTCCCACGTTTTAATGCTACACTGTTGTTGTTCTTATTGTTTCTCCCTCCTCCCAGGTGCAGCTCATCCACTATAACCATGAGTTGTATACAAATGTTACGGAAGCTGCAAAGAGCCCCAATGGATTGGTGGTAGTTTCTATATTTATAAAAGTAAGTGTCTTGCATTCCTTTATTCTTCTCCTCCGGCCATTCCCACCACCATCAGGATATCTCTCCTCAGTCCTGCTGGATGTGAGCCATGGCACAAAGAAAAACCTGCAAGGTGGTGATTTGACATCCACAGGATTTATATGAAGAATGAGGTCCCTCTCAGCGAGACACACACATGATGGGTTCCGTTTCACAGCACCAGGGCCTGTCCTGGAGAACAAACAGTGCTGGATCCAGGTGCCACCTTCTGCAGAAAAAATCAGCACCAAGTAATAGGAGGGGAGGGGGTAGCTCACTGACACCCCCAGGATTAAAGTCTCTCCAGTCTTTGGAAAAAGAGAGGCATGTGAGATGTCCCTCCCATTGGGTGCTGCGCTAAACAGCTCCCTCCAGCTTCCCCACTATGGCTCTGGGCATCATCTTCCTCCCTTCCTCCTTCCCTCCTTCCCTTTCTCCTTCCTTCCCTTTCTCCCTCCTTTGGAAGCATCCCCTGAAGAAAACTAAGCAAATATCACCAGTGCCGACTTTCTGATACTGTAGGGAGGCACCACATCTTCCTAGCAGTCAGCAACAACACATCTCTTACCGAGCCAGTTCTAATTTGTTAAAAGGTAGTTGCCATTAACATTTTTGACAGATGGAGAGAGGAAACAGCTATGTAAATGTAAAGGAAGAAAGAAACAAAGAAATTGTCTTCTCCATTGGTGGGAGGGGGACAGGGGAGGAAAAAAGCCATGTGTGGCATTTCCAAAAGTTGGCCGCCACTGTGCCAACAACCCCTTGGGAAGTTTTGGCCAGATGGTTAGAGGAGGCGCCCCAGTCTGAACTTGGACTCAGATGAAGATGATCCAGCGTTTGCTACTCTGGGCTCTGAACAGAGTTCTGGTGGTGGCATAGCATCGCTCAGAAGAATGGGCATGGGGGCACCCCAGGTACCACTCCCTGAAAGCATCACCCTCTGCAACAGGCACTTCACCTGCCTGGTCCTCCCTCTCAAGACTCCATGCCTCTCCTTAATTCCTCTCCTTCCCTTCCTGGGAGATTGATAGCAGACTACTCCGTACCCCCTGCTTAAAATTCTTTGGTCCTTCATAAACCTCATGGTTGTAAACTCACCACCCCCAGTTTTCCTGGGCACACACACCATCCTTTGTGTTATGTCTGAGACCCACTGAGATTACTGATGCAGGTCCTGGCTGCCTCTCTGCGGGGTTTTGGGAGGAACTTGTGCCCCGAACCCTGAGGGGCAGTTTGGGCCACATTGGCCTTAGGGTGCTTCCGTTCTTCCCCTGTGCAAACCTGAAGCTTTCTGGTTAGACCTCAAAGTACGCCACAGCATCCCTATATTTGTTCGTTATAATCAACTTCCAGATGTTCCGTGCGTTATCCCAGCTGTGACTAGTCACTCACTCACCCCAGTGCACAGATAGTGTGTAGGACATGGGCCGGCCCTGTGCGAGGCGCTCAAAATAGAAATAAGTGAATAAAGCCCTTGGTCTCTAAGGACACACATTGTTACTAGGCCTCCCCTCCTTCTGATCTTTCTGCCTCCCCTTCCCAGCTCCCTGCAGAGGAGGCAGGAACGAAAATGAGAGGCCCCACATCTAGGTCAGCTGAGCCCTAGAGATGTCACTGTGCCCAAAAGCTGAGCCGTAGAAGGATGGGAGTTGTTTGGCTAAAAATAAGAGACTTGTTTATCTGTGGGCTTTACTTATCTCTGTCTCTTCCTCATCCCCCATCCTTCCCGTGACCACGGGGAGCTGAGATTTGGCTGTAATTGCTACTCAATCACACACCATTAACTTCCCACTTAAGCTCACTTATACCAAGTACATATTTTATCCTCTCACCCACGCAGCCAACACACTAGAGCCCACAAATCATCTGTGTGCACTTTGGAAATGTTTCAGTTATTTTTAATCAGCTCCAAAGGATCCAGTCCCAATGTTAGCACTATCCAGTCTCGCCAGGTACCACGAGCCCAAGGCACTGGACTCTGGGCCATGGCACCTTCCTTACCTGCCATGACATTATAGTTTGGCTCTCCTCCTTTCAGAGGGTCCATTAGCCCCCACCAGTGGCTTTGGGCTATCTTTTAATGGCCACAGAGGATGGCAAAGCAGTAGTTGGGTTTGGTACTGAGGCTTCTGGGGTACAGCAGCGTTTCATTTGGGACTTTTCTCTGATTGTGGTGGGCTTTTACAAACACCACGGAGCATTGCCACTCACCAAGCTCCCCTTGGTGTGTGTCTCAACACACACCCAGGAACGGTGGGAAATGAGAGACAGATGGCGTGAAAATAAACAGTCTGTGCTATTTCCAAACTAAAAATTACCTGTTGTTTATCTAATAATAATAATCACCTGCTGAATTTTTCCAACCCTCAGAATAAATCAGATTTAAAATGTTGATGTGTCACAACATTCGATTAGTAGCTGAGGCGTAAATTACAGAGCAGAGCTGAGCCAAGTGAGGTAGGAGAGAAACTGTTAGGATGAACAATGCACCTCGGGGGAAAATGAGTAAAAAGTGGGTGCTAAGAAAACAGCGTCCACAGTCTCCAAGTGGCGGTCCCCTGGATCAAGCTTCTTGAACCTTGCTTTTTCTCCCAAAGAAGGGATTTGGAGACCTAAAGACATGAGCAACTGATCCCTAAACATCTGGTTCAATGTTCGTCCCATAATGGGTTCTTGGTAAATTTTTATTGAATATATGAATGCATAGATGTGTAGATGGTTGGATGGATGGATGGCTTACATAGATGCATGGATGGGTGGATGGGTGCATGGATAGATGGATGAATGGATTATGCATGAATGGATTATTGGATGGCACGGTGTATGATATATTCAACTTATGCAATAAAGAGCAGTTACATAATAAGGTTCTCTATTACTCTTAGAGATTTATTTTCATTTCCTGACTCCTCTGTTCTGTGTACTCTTTCTCTCACTCTCTACCTAGATTACTATCTCCTTCCTAACATGTCACTCCCTGCTTCTTGTTTAAAACCCTTTGATGGTTCCCCATCCCTAGTTTAAATTTTCTAACATGATTTTCAAAGCCTGGCATAAGCTAACCTTTGCCTACCCCTCTAGCCTCACCTCCCATACTCTCAGCTCCATCTGCTCTGAAGTACATGCCTTAGCTTGGCCAGTTCTCCCATGCCCATGTATGAACCAGGTCCTCTGTAGGTAATGTGTTTCCTATCCTTCCACACTTGACCACCAAAGCATTTTGTTAATTTCTACCCATCCTTCAAGACTCAGTTCAGGTCTTAGCTCCCCAGATTTCCCAGATGGATGATCCTCTCCTAGCACTGTTCCTACAATATTATAGCCATTTATTTACTTATCTGTCTTCTTTCTCTAGACTGGGGTTTCTGGGAAATAGAGTATATTTTATCTCTGAATTTTCAGTCATCATAGTGATTGGCATATGGTAGGCACTCAAGAAATGTGAATGAACAAGTGAATTCATGGAAGCAATGTTTATCCTAAGATAGCACTATCCACTCATTAAATTTTTCTTTTTTGCCCTAGGTTTCTGATTCATCAAACCCATTTCTTAATCGAATGCTCAACAGAGATACTATCACAAGAATAACATATAAAAGTAAGTTTGGTTCAATTTCTTATACAACAGCTATTCTATAAAGGTTAGTTCCGTCTGAAGGCAGAAAGCCAGAATCTATGATCTCCAAGAGCCCCTTTTAGCTTCCTGATCCTTTGGTTCTGTAGAAAGTGACTCTGGAGAGTCAGAGTTGGCTAAGAAGCAGCCCATTTCAAAAAATAGTCTCTGGAGTCTTTGTCACCCAAGCCTGTCTAAGGCAATAATGATTATTATGAAGATGGTCATCGTTAACCTATGGATTGGTAATGAATCAGGGCCTTCTATTGGCTGAGAAACTCCACCATGACAGCTAGTCATATTTGGGGCTTCGCCAATTATGTGATGGGAAAAGCATTCACATGGTGGTTTGCATCCAACCTCAGCACTCACAGAGCCTGACTGTGGGGCCAAGTCTCCCTCTCTGTGTCTCTGGGTCTCCCTTTCAGGTAGAGGCCAGATGGCCTCTATCTTCTTCCTCATGTATGACCCATTGATCCAGAGGTTTCCTTGGGGTTCCAGGGTGTTTAATCCCTAGAATCTTTACACAGAAAAGAGAGAACAGTACAGCATTGGAAGGAGAAGAGGGAAAAGGTGCTGCTGCTGTCCACAGAAATCCCAGAAATTGCTGGATTTTGGAAAACTTATATGAAATAGTGCACATCAAGAGATGAAAGAAGTCAGTACAAATATATATATATATATACAGTATATATATATATATACTGTATATAGTGTATATATATATATATAGCCTGAAGCAGAGATATATATATATATGTATATATGTGTGTGTATATATATATATATATATATATATATATATATATATATATGATTTTGTCCTTAAGCAAGGAGCTTTCTCATTTTGACTGTTTCCTCATCGCTAAAGTGAAGAAGTTGAATTTCAGGTGTTTGAGTCCCTTCTAGGATTCTGAACCAAGCAATAGGTAAATAATGATGTTCACAAAAGCTAAAAGCAGCATGCAAATATTCCACCACGCCACTTCCCCTTGAACATCATCTAGAAGAATGAATGACGTTGTCTCCAGAGCCGCCACCCCCCCCCTCCCAATCTCATCAGTACCCCAGTGGAGTCTGCTCTAAGCTAAGGAAGGGGTTGCTGACTTATGTGGAAATAGCACATTAAAGATTATTATTAGTCTTTTAACTTTTTTGATTAAAAAAGCATGAAAATTAAATAAAATGTTTTCAAATAATCCTGCATTTGCAGTTTAGAGACTGTGAAAAGCTGTGAAATCACACATTAAGCCACAACACACCAGCTAACAGATTGCCAGCTGCAGAATCAATCATTAGTGAGACTTTCCTCCCCGCCCCACCCCCAGCACCGGTCTGATTAATTTTGAGCGATGTGGCTGCAGCTGAAGAAGAAAGTATCCACGTGGGTGTGCACTATGGGAAGGTGTATCGATTCTGGTGTAAATAGAGTCTGGAGAGCCAAGGTGACGGGTCTTGTTGAGACCAATGATGGATGGTTGTTTTGTGGCTAAGGGAGACTTCTGCTTCAGATGAGGCGTCCCCGCTGACTGCCACCCCCATGCGGTCTGCCGAACTGAGAAGGACACACTTTGGCAATAACTGAAGTGAATAGCGATGTTAAAACCCAAGACCTTGATTCATTTGTTCACTCACTCACTCCGCACATATCTATGGAGTGGCTCCTAAGTACAAAGATATAGAGAAATCAATATAAAGGACATGTCTGTCCATGGGGTCTTCGCTATTTAGTTGGGGAGACGGACTCTCAGAGTGTCTGATAAAGATTTGTGTAACAAGTTCACTGTTAAAAATATGAAAAGAATGCTTTCAAATCATAGAAGATCTGCGTAGAATTACATGGCAAGGTTGCACAAAGCAGGCGCCATTCAAATAAGAACTGAATAGATGAATAACTGTTTGCTGAGGAAAGAGAAAAGAGAAAGAAAGAGAGGGAGGAAGAAAGAGAGAGAGAGAGGAGTGGGGAGAATGGAGGAAGTTGGCGCATTCTAAGCCTAAAGAGCAGCATCTGCAGCAAAGAGAGCATTAAAAGGACAATAAAGCAAAGCCGGCATGGCTCAGTGACGGAGAATGGACCTATGAACCAAGAGGTCATAGTTCAATTCCTAGTCAGGGCATATGTGTGGGTTGTGGGTTCCATCCCCAATGTGGAGCATGCAGGAGGTAGCCAACCAATGATTCTCTCTCATCAATGATCTCTTTCTCTCTCTCTCTCTCTCTCTCTCTCTCTCTCTATCTATCTATCTCTCCCCCTCCCTCCCTCTCCCTCCCTCTCCCTCTTCCTTCTTCCCTCTCCCTCTCCCTCTCCCTCTCCCTCTCCCTCCCTTCCTCTCCCTCTCCCTTTCCCTCTCCCTCTTCTTCTCCCTTTCCCTCTCCCTCTTCTTCTCCCTTCCCCTTTCCCTCTTCCTCTCCCTCTCCCTCTTCCTCTCCCTCTCCCTTCCTCTCTGAAATCAATAAAAAATATATATTTTAAAAAGACAATGGGAAGAGTGCAAAGAGAAGATCTCTGTCCCAGTCAGCCCTTCATCTAACATAAACCCTGTAAACATTGGTGATGATCTGAATGAATGGAGGAATGAAGGCCCCCTGACATAGCAGTGACAGGGACAGAGATAGTGAGTGGCAAGAAAGGTGGTTGGGAGCTAGATCTTGAATGGTCTTGATTCCCAGCTGAGGAATGTATGCAGAAGTATTTGAAGAAATGCCCTCAGCACTTCTCCAGACCCCCTTCTAGAAATGCAAATAGAAGAGAGCAGGAGCCCCTCCTCCACTGTCCTTCATAATCTAGCTGTCAGAGCCCAGGGAAAAGAAAGGAGAACTAAGGAAGATAAGGAGGCCCCATGGGGGGAGGTAACTGCATCCTGCCCCCTAATCACAGGTATTTGGTGCTCAACATTCTTTGGGGGATGATGGAGGTGTTCCTGGTAGCACATTTAACATGCACCTGAAGGTTGGCACCACAGGGTTAATGATGATCCCACACAAGGGAATGGCCTAGACACGCTATGTCCAGAACTCTGGCTTCAGGGATTGATTTGCTCAGCAGGAAAGCGCCAGAATTCTTCCCTCCAGCTAAACTCCCTGAGGCAGCCAGCCTGTGTGGCAAGCAGGGGAGTATCTGAAACAAGTCATTCACTAGGATACAGCCGGTGGGTGGGAAGCACAAGCCTGCCAGTCTCTCCAGAGACCCCGCAGGACGCAGCAGGTGCTGCTGACATCAGCCCATGAATTCCAGTCAAGACTGAAATAACGCCACATGCTTAGGGCACCTCTCAGAATACTCTGCTTTCAAACTACAATGCTGATACTTTCACATTCCATAAAATGCATGGGTTTTTTTTCTCTTAATTCCAACTTGGGTTCAGTTTGAAGAGCCATCTCTTTGCTTTTTGCGTTTGTTCCCACTTGGAAGGGGCATAAGTTAACACAGAACTTGGGGGAACTTTGAAAGTTCAAGCTCATACCATCCTAAACTCTCTGCAACTCCTGTCTGTTCCCTGTCATGGAACCATCAGTGAAAATCACTGTCATATAGAAGGACATAGCAGCACTGCCATTATTGTCACATGTAGTAACCACTTAAGTCACAGGGTCAGTCTTCCTCATCAGTGTTCCCTTGGAGACCATTGTAATGCTAAGTCAACCTAAGACTTTGAGCAGAGAGTGACATGATCTGCTGACAAAGGGATCACTCTGTTTGCCTGACTGGGAATAGACTAGAGAGGAGCAAGGAGAAATGTTGGGAGATGATTGCAGCAATCCAAATGATGAGACATTGTAGATCATAACCAGGCTAATGTGAAGGAGGTAGAGAGAAATGATTGGGCATATTTTGAGGACATTTCTTAATAGATTAGATGTGTGATATGAACAAGAAGAGTCAGGATGACTAAGGTTTTTAGGCTGAGCAACTGGGAAGAAGTGGTTTCCATCGAGTGAGATGTGAAGACTGTTGATGAAACATATGAGTAGTGGGTGGGAAGGGAACTAGAAGTTTCAAGCATGCTAAGCTTGAGATGTCTACCAATAAGAGGAATGGAGTAGGCAGTTAGATATATGAGTCTAGATTTTAGGAGACAGAACTGAGACAGAATGTGAAAATTATTGGGCTTCAGATGGCATTTTAACTGGGTGAAATCATGGGAATGAGAATAGATAGAGAAGAGAGGCGGACATGTCCTCACTTTCAAAAGAGCAGCTCACATCCTTATGACTAGGGATTGCAAATCATTTCTAAAGATAGCTTTTAAATCCCACCCTCAAAGAGGCTCTTGTGTGTCTGTCTCATCAGCCAGCTGAGCAGGTGTGAGGAGGCTAGAACATTATGGAAGCATGCAGTGAAGTCACCAGAAATGGCAGCCAATAGGGACACCGTTCATTTGCTTGGTTTCATCAGAGATTAGATGAGTAAGAGTAAAAAAGGAATTGTGCAAAATCATCCTATTGAGCTAGTTAAGAAAATCAATGCCAGGAAATCCATTAAAAAAGAGAAAAGAAGGAGAATCTTGTCAAAGAACTGGGAATTTTAGAAGCCAGGTATCAAGCTGGTTAAAGTCAACATACTTATGAGAAATACTAGAGGGCCCAGTGCACAAAATTTATGCACTCGGGAGGGGTTCCGCAGTACCAGAGCCCTCAGGGGGGTGTCCAACTGATGGCTTGCTCTCCGCGGGGAATGGGCCTAAGCTGGCAGTCAGACATCCTCAGTGCTGTCCCTGAGGCAGGAGAGACTCCTGCCACTGCCACTGCACTCGCTAGCCGTGAGCCTGGCTTCTGGCTGAACAGTGCTCCCCCTTTGGAAGCACACTGACAACCAGGGGGCAGTTCCTGCACTCTGGTGGTCAGTGCATGTCACAGCGACTGGTTGACCTGGCAACTAACTGTCTGCTCCCTGGTGGTCAGTGCACATCATAGTGAGCGGTTGAGTGACCTTAGCATATCATTAGCATATTATGCTTTAATTACAGGTCATTATGATGCCACCT